TTGTTTTCATTTGCATCTCTCGAATGACCAGTGATGTTGAACATTTTTTCATGTATTTATTTGCTATTTCTACTTCTTTGTTTGAGAAATGTCTGTCCATTTTAGATGCCCATTTTTGGATTGGGTCTTTAAATTTGGGAGGTCTGATCTTTTTAAGTTCTCTATAGATTGGAGATAGTAGACCTTTGTCTGAGGAAGAGCAGGTGAAGATTTTTTCCCACATTGTGTACTCTAATATTTCCTATTGTTTCTAGGTAAACATTTGAAGACAAAAAAAAAAAGCTTTAAAAAATGCAAATTGGCCAGGAAAATAGCTCAATGTTAGAGTGCTTCCCTCAAATGTGCAAGCCTCTGGATTCAATCCCCAGTACCATAAGGAAAGGGGGAAAAAGGAAACAATAAAAAATATAAACATAGGCTAATTATTCTCCAGGTTTGACAGTCTGAGATTTGGAATCTATGGTCCTAGTCTCAGCTGGGTCAAATAAAAATCTAGCTTCATGAAATTTCCTAAACCATAATGATAAGATTTCTGACTATAATAAGAAATTATATGCTTTTCTCTACGGCATTTTAAATATGGTCTTAAAACTCCTTTTGTCATTGATGTTTGATGATCAAATGATTCTGGATTAGGAAAGCAAGACTTTCTTGTGGCCAACCTATCCTCCAGGAGAAGCAGGTGACCAAACTTGGAGAATGGCAAACCCTGACATGAATGCCCAGAGCCTGGCTCCTGAGGTTCCACATCGCACTGTATGCTCAATGTCCTTCATATTCAACCTGTGCTAAACAGATATAAATGTGGATGATATATGGTAGAAAAGAACACTTCTGATTTTTCTCACTAAAATCAGAGAACTATTAAGGACTCTACTCACCATTACCATTCAAGGTGCTCATCTACAAGGAAATGCTATTATATCACAGAATATTTTAAAAGATAAAAATATTTCAACTGTAGAATATTTTTGGACCTGAGTTTTTAAATAGAAAGATAACAAAACATATAAAAATATGTTTATCATTTAAAATGAAAACTATGATACCAGGAATATGCAAGTGATAAGAAATCAACTGAAACACATCTTCTGAGAATAAAAATATTTATTCAAGCTTCTATTAAAGTATACAAACAGGGAAGTAAAAAAAATCAAGTATGTATAATTACCAATACTCCATGATGAATATATTTATTATGTATTATAAATACATACTAACAAAAAAATTTTTAAATAAAGTGTACAAAGAGCAAATTTATCTTGGGATTAAACCAAAAACATTTAAAACACATGCGGGCCGGGGGTTTAGCTCAGTGGTGCTGCCGCCTGCCTCACAAGTGCAAGGTCCCGAGTTTGAGCCCTGGTATCAAAAAATACACACACACACACACACACAGACACATTACACCAGTGTTAAGACATATTAATCCAGCAATATCAGCCTTGATCATGATAGAACTGACCTCTTAATAGCATTTCTCATATGTAAT